GATGCCGAGTACGACGAGCAGTACGGCGGGCCGCAGTACGACGAACAGTACGACGCCGTGTACAGCGACGAAGACGGAGTGGAGGCCGATCAAGATGGCGTCGAGTACGATATCCCTGCTCTCGCTCAAGCCCCTCGTAAAGATCCTGTCGGCCGGATTGGTGGACACCCGAGCACGTGGGCGAACAAGTTAGGTGTTGTCAATCATAAGGCGAGCCTTGCCGTCATGGGCCCAGAAGACCTGCGCGATGAACAAGACGCCAAGGCGGATGACGATGACGATGATGATGACGACGATGACGATGACGACGACGACGACGATGATGACGATGATGATGATGACGACGATGATGATGACGATGACGACGATGACGACGACGACGATGACGACGATGACGACTACATTGAAGCCGACTTTCATGGAGAGTAAATCCTAACGGCACTGGTTGTCTTGGTAAATTAACACGAATATCTGTCACGAGTTTCTGTCATGAATGGAATTTTTTTTGAAAATTGCAAGATGGTTTTGTACTTTTCCATAGTTTTGACCAGCGTTGGTAAAAACCCGATATTTTTTGTCGGATATATCGGGTGTAAGGTTTTAATCATTACTGTCCGATTGCTGCGTATTAAAATCATGGTTTTATTCCATGGAACATCAGTCGAGGCTAGCATGACCGGAATCACTCTCGCTGGCATAGATAGTCATCACCCGTCGGACAACTGTAGAACGCACCCATGTTGCACTTGATGAACACGAGCTTCTCAACAGTCTTGTTGCACAGGGAGTTCCTCAGCTTGGAATGGATGAAGCCTATCGTTGAAATGTATCCCTCGGATACTGCCTTAGACGCCGCTATACTAAAGAGAAGGATCGCGACGCTTTGCAAATCTGCCCACTGACATCCATCGGTCTGCCAATACTGCAACACGGCCCTCGACCCCTTGGACAGCATCTGGTAACGGAAGGAGTTCGCCTCCATAACGATGTCGGGCATGATCACAAGCGCAATGGACACTGCCACTTCATTGTCCACCACTCAATTAAAACCCGATTTTCCGAATAAAGCCCGCTTTGTTCGACCTCAGCCAATTGGGTTTTTGTATTAAAACCTGAAAAACCCGATTGCATCACACCAGGTTCTACTACCCTTGGTTTTGACCAATATCGATAACATTAGTAAATTCTCACCGAATCGTGGAGTCCAATTAATTGCCTTGGTGCGATATTTCGTTTGAACAAATTGTGCTGACTCTGGCAAAGTCGCAGATCGATGCGGGTATTCCATCCGACATGGGTTGTCGCGGCGACGGCGGCGCTGTGTAGCTGGGCATCT